TCAGAAATTAATTATCGACTTAACTTGGTTAATAATTAACCAGATAGACTTTTCGACTTAAGGTCGAACTTATTTGCTGAAAATGAACGAGAATAATAAAAGGAAATACATCACTTTTATTAACAAAAAACTGGGTTATTACAATCTACCCCCTTAAAATATTTTCGTCCCCGGAAATATACAACTGAACATATATACATGATACAAGAAAAGTATATACATCAAAACTGAAAATCAGAAAAACGAGCGTGGATATCTGCCTCTTGCTCCCAAGTAGCTCCGTGGCAATCCCACTGAACGCGAATAAGGGGAACATTACGCTTCTGGAGTCGTCGAACCTGTCGGTCCAATACAGCTACCAGTCGCTCCTCATAAGACAAATCGGGATTGATCTGAACATCGGTATGCGGAATAACATGATCGGGATCGCACACGTATTTACGCAACATAGATACATGAGAGACATTATGAACACTGGATAACACGGGAGGTAAGGCTAATCGATACGCAACTTCGCCCACTCGCTCGAGGACTTCGAATGGGCCTATGAACCGAGGGTGTAACTTCCCTCTCTTCCCAAATCGAATAACTCCGCGAATTGGGCTAACTCTGAGAAAAGCTCGTTCTCCGACTTCGAACTGAATGTCACGTCTATGCTTGTCGGCCGATGACTTCTGCCGACTCTGCGCTGTTTTAAGCCTCTTTCTGATAAGCTTGACTTGCTCAGTTGTCTCCTCGATCATTTTCGGACCGAGTACTCGACGTTCGCCAACATCGTCCCAATAAAGGGGCGAGCGGCATTTACGCCCGTATAGTGCCTCGAAAGGAGCCATTCGAATCGACGCCTGATAACTGTTGTTATAGGCGAATTCAACTAACGATAAAATCGACTCGCATTTAGCACCTCTGTCTAACATCAACAATCTGAGCATATCCTCGAGCATCTGAATAATTCTTTCTATCTGCCCATCTGTCTCTGGATGGTAAGCCGAACTGAACTGTAACTGCGTGCCCATCGCCTCGTGTAAACTCTTCCAGAATCTGCTGGTGAATCTGGAATCTCGATCTGACACAATGTGGGCAGGCACTCCGTGGAGTCGAACGATCCCACGGGTATAAATCTCGGCTAACTTCTCCATTGACATGGTCATCGATACAGGTAGGAAATGTGCGACTTTCGTCAATCTGTCCACTACTACCCAAATCGCATCGTGGTGTTCGGACGACTTGGGCAGCCCTGTAACAAAATCCATCGAAATCTCCTCCCACTTCCACTTTGGAATCTCAAGTGGTCGTAGAAGGCCTAAGGGGCTCTTATGTTCGGCCTTAACCTGCTGACAAACCAAACACTTTCTTACGAAATTGGCAACATCTTTCTTCATTCCCCTCCACCAGAAAGACCCCTTGAGGTCATGATACATCTTGGTGCTACCGGGGTGTGCTAGATAAGGCGCGGTGTGTGCCTCTGCCAAGACCTCCTTCTGCAAGGCCTCGACCTTCGGCACTACTATCCTGCCTCGAAACTCTAAGGTGCCATCTGCGCCTCGAGAGAAAACCCTCGACACCTCCGGCGGAAACCTTGGCCTCAGTAGCACGTATAAACTGATCATGAGTCTGTTCCTGCTGGATTCTGTCTCTCAATGTAGGCTAAATTTGCATCGAGCTAACACTCCCTGTAATCACTGCAGGAAGCGACTCGACGACTTGAATCTGCATCCGGGCAAAGTCTTGAATAAGATAATGCTGTCGAGTAATAGAACAAGATAATTCGCCTTTTACCTTTCGGCTCAAGGCATCAGCTACAACATTTGCTTTCCCCGGATGATACTGAATCGTGCAGTCATAATCTTTAACAAGCTCCAACCAACATCTTTGACGCATGTTGAGCTCCTTTTGCATGAAAATATACTGCAGACTCTTGTGATCGGTGTAGATCTCACATCGACCACCATAAAGATAATGCCGCCATATCTTAAGTGCGTGTACCACTGCAGTTAACTCCAGGTCGTGGGTAGGATAATTCTGCTCATGGGGCTTCAACTGACGTGAAGCATATGCTATAACCTGAACGTCCTGCATAAGTACACACCCCAAACCTCGCTTCGAAGCATCACTATAGATGGTGAAACTCCTAGAAGGATCAGGAATAGTCAGCACTGGTGCCGTCGTAAGTCTCCTTTTTAGCTCCTGAAAACTCAACTCACAACGGCCTCCGTACCTGCAGAACTCAACGCCGGGGTGGCCCCGGCGTCGGGCCTCCGATGCTTAAGTCAGTGCTCAGATCAAGAGAGAGAAAGTGTAGTAATATAATGAGGAGAGAGTCATAATGAGGTACCTTGGCCCCCCTTTTATAGGGGGAGTGTACCTTTGTGGGCTCAAGATGAGCTTGGCCCATAATGTTGGGCTTGGACGTCTTAGTGGGCTTATCTTCCAAAATGTATCCGCTTTATCCATTTAACCGGGTCCAGTATAATATCCTATATCAATAAAGATAATGCCGCCATATCTTAAGTGCGTGTACCACTGCAGCTAACTCCAGGTCGTGGGTAGGATAATTCTGCTCATGGGGCTTCAACTGACGTGAAGCATATGCTATAACCTGAACGTCCTGCATAAGTACACACCCCAAACCTCGCTTCGAAGCATCACTATAGATGGTGAAACTCCTAGAAGGATCAGGAATAGTCAGCACTGGTGCCGTCGTAAGTCTCCTTTTTAGCTCCTGAAAACTCAACTCACAACGATCTGTCCATTCAAATGTTGGTGAACGTCGAGTACTCGGTCCGAAAATGATCGAGGAGACAGCTGAGCAAGTCGAGCTTATCAGACAGAGACTTAAAACAGTGCAGAGTCGGCAGAAGTCATCGGCCGACAAGCATAGACGTGACATTCAGTTCGAAGTCGGAGAACGAGCTTTTCTCAGAGTTAGCCCAATTCGCGGAGTTATTCCATTTGGGAAGAGAGGGAAGTTACACCCTCAGTTCATAGGCCCGTTCGAAGTCCTCGAGCGAGTGGGCGAAGTTGCGTATCGATTAGCCTTACCTCTCGAGTTATCCAGTGTTCATAATCTCTTTCATGTATCTATGTTGCGTAAATACGTGTGCGATCCCGATCATGTTATTCTGCATACCGATGTTCAAATCAATCCCGATTTGTCTTATGAGGAGCGACCGGTAGCTGTATTGGACCGACAGGTTCGACGACTCCGGAAGCGTAATGTTCACCTTATTCGCGTTCAGTGGGATCGCCACGGAGCTACTTGGGAGCAAGAGGCATATATCCGCGCTCGTTTTCCTGATTTCCAGTTTTGATGTATATACTTTTCTTGTATCATGTATATATGTTCAGTTGTATATTTCCGGGGACGGAAATATTTTAAGGGGGGTAGATTGTAATAACCCAGTTTCTTCTTAATAAAAGTGATGTATTTCCTTTTATTATTCTCGTTCATTTTCAGCAAATAAGTTCGACCTTAAGTCGAAAAGTCTATCCGGTTAATTATTAACCAAGTTAAGTCGATAATTAATTTCCGAACCGTTTCTTTTATAAACGGACATGATTAATCGGGATTAATTATTGAAAGTTAAGAATGTTCGGATTTAATTTCGAAGTCAAATCATGTTAAGTCATGAATGTACACAAGTTACACTCATGCACGTATGTCGTGCGTGCAATTGCGCACGCGAACGTGCACAGCGCGCATCGTCGCGCATAGCGCATGTAGCGCGCATCATTAGGCCGCTAAGCGGGCACTTAGGCAATGCTTAGCAACATGATCAAGCCAAATTCCCTCCCTAAGATTACCGTGTGGGATAGTCTAAAGATAAATGTTGGGTGTGCAAGTGGGGTGATGAGTCACCTAGTAGCTTGCACACATGGCACAACACGCACGCACGGGCGATGACTAAGCCCGTGCATGCTTGAC